TTTTTTTTTTACTACAGAATATTTTCTGTATTAACGACTTCTTTTGCTTTTCAAATTACTCGTTTATGATTTATGTATTCATTGTGCAGATTCTTCAAAAAAGATTCAAAACTTTTAGTTTCGGACTGCTGATTCTTCTGAAGTTTGGGCAATATTGCATGAAGTCTTCCCATGTAGCAAATTTATGATTTGTCTAAAGACTAGAATCTATGAAAAAATGTACAACTTTTTTTTTATTTTGTTACTTGTTGAATGTTTTCCAAAATTATGTCTTAATTTGGGCCAGCTAAAAACATTTTAAAGGGCACGATCCACGGTCCATGCTACTACTTATCTTTCTGAAGGATTTTTTGGAATGCCTATTATCTTTCTTCCGTACATCTTAAGTATTGACTTGATGGTTTTCATCTCTTTGCATTGTATGAAAAATAGTCTTTAATATTAAACTCTTGTTTTACTGATTTGAATTTGTTGTTTGAGTATCTCCTTGGACTTCAATCAAGGGGTTGAACTTCGAAGCCTCACATTTTTATTGTTGTTTCTTTTTTATTTTTTTCAAATTGCCCCTAGTGTGTGTTGAATTGTAGGCTGGACATATGAGAATTCTCTGTGGCTTGTTGGTTGACTAACGTACATCGTAGTTTGATATTGTCCAGCACTTTGCAGGGCAAAATGCACACAGCTCATGAAACATCAAGAGGCGCTTCCACTTTTTTGGTTTAAGCATTGTTTATCCATCAGGCTAAAAACTAAATCTTGGTTGCATTAACTAAGCTAAAAATTTTCTATTTCATCAAACGTATTTTTTCACATTTTTGGATCAGATTATACTCGATCATAACTGGCATCTGAACTGAAAGTAAAGTTGCTAAGCTTAAAAAGATCTTGGCAAAATGAAATGCAACCACTTCAGTTTCTTTTAATACAATAAACAATCTCATTTTTGCTTTGTTTTTGAACATCTGGGAGGCAGTGGGAGCTGTACAAAATTTCCGCAAGTTTTGAAGCTTTTGAGTGCTTCAATTATACATGTTTCTTTGGTTGGTTTAATCAAAATTTAGCCTCCATGAAAATTTTTCATCTGGTGCAAATTACTGTTTCCCCATGTTGGTTGGCATACCTACTTGGATTTGTAGAAGCATTTGGTATTGCCGATTGGAAGCTGATGCCAAAAGAGCTTGCTCCAAATGGTGGTGCAACTTCAAGCAGGTGATTGTCAATAGTTTTAGAAGGGAACAATGTAGTGTTAATAAGTGATTCGACAGCGTGGAGTGATATTTTGCTTGATTTTGAGATCCTCTTTGAAACAAATGTTGGAATCTGGTGAATACCTACATTATCATTTAACCATATTGATTTTGTGGGATTTACAAGTAGGTTCTTTCTTTGGTTGCATTTAGTAGTTCTATTCATCGCCTCAATTTTAACAATGAAAATGAGATTTTGTAGGTTTTGGATTTGAGATGCTCAAGAATTTTAAGTAGTGCTGTGCGATACTAATTCCCAAGAAGCAAGTCCACCTACAAATAAACTAAAACTAATGTTGTGGGGATGGTTAGGAGTGAAATGGTCTTACATCATATGACAATAGAGCTATTTGATTTTTAAGTAAAGAATTCTGTTTTTGAGCTTATAAGGTTGTGGAATCACCGGAATGAGTAGGATTTAAACGTGGGTGACTTGTAGTTTGGAGTTTCGAAGTTTGGATATGGAGTGGTTGTATCTTGTATGTTGTGATAACCTACACTGGTAAAACACTACTTTTAGGAGTTTTTTTGTTCAATAGAGATTTCTCCATGAGATCAGATTGAGCAGATGCATAGACCACTTTTAGAATGAATTTCTTATAATCCATTTTTGTTTTAAGGGAGTTTTACGTTGAGCTCGATTTTCAGATCTGGCACGTAAAGAAATGTCAAGAATTATCTAGTTTGGTCATCTTAGAGCTTTTCATGATTCCAATCATCAATAGCTACATTATCAGATCTGGTAAAAGCTAAAACACGATCTCTCAAGTATGGCACCAAGATGTTACGCATGGCAACAAAAGACTAAAATGTTAATTATCAATAATAATATTAGGCAAGAACGATTTGCAGAACGTCTCAACATTACGAGACCCCAAAATTAAACATCGGACATGAAGTCCAATGCTACAAATACACCTAGCACCAGACAGCACGTCCACTTCTATTTACAAGAAATCATCAACCTCAGCTCCCATGTCCCGAAAATAGACATCTGACTTCAGGTTTTTTATGCTCTATCAAAACTGTTCGTTTTATCTTTTCCCAGAACTCAAGGTTGTCAGTGAATTACTACTGCTAAAACGACCCTCACAAAGGACCGACCGGCTGAACGATCAACATCTTTTATATTATTATTGAGCGCAACATTCTTAGTTTTGGCGCGCCTGAAGTCATTTATACACAACAGTATCCTTCTTTTAGCAGTGCATTCAATTCACGATGTTTCTTAAGTGTTTCTTTGTGGTCAGGCACCTCCCGATAATGGTGGAATGCCCTAACAGCAAGAGAATCATTAGTGTCATCAATAGTACACCAGTTTTATATGCAGGGGAAGGAGCCTCTACAAGTATGTCATCAAATAACTAAGTCGTGGAAGTTATTCGAGAAATCCCTGTGTTTCCATCCTCTCAAAAGAGAAAGTTTTACTGTATTGATTTGGTCTGATCGAACGTCCAGAGTTCTAATCCGCCCAAAATAGTGGCGTATGGCTTTGGTTTTTGAGATTTATGGTCGAATTTTCATACAAAAGAATATAAGTTGGTTAAATTTGTTCTTGAAGCTTGAAATCCAGCTAGCTTTGACATGATAACTGGAACCATGTCTATTTTACTCTTAAAATTAAATTCCTTATCTGTACATGTACTATGTTCGGAAGCATTAACAAACGATTTTTGGAACATTCCTACGGGCACATGCTCGATGAAAAATTATCTAGTTTGATCATCTTAGAGCTTTTCATGATTCCAATCATCAATAAGTATATTATTATATCTGGTAAAACACGATCTCTCAAGTCTCGCAACAAACTGTTACTAAGGGCAACAAAAGACTAATAAAATGTTAATTATCCATAATCATGTTATTAGATATGGTGAGGCAAGAAGGACGTGCTATTGTGCTCGAGTTACATATTAAAGCTCCCGTGGACTGACAATTGTTGCAGCTCATAATCTTTTTTTTTTCTTCAAAGGAACTTCACCTCAACGCTCATTATATATTTCCTCCACATTCATTATTTACATCGTCCTCTCTTCTTTTTTTTTTTTCTTTTTTTTGAGACATCCAATACCGGTCTTTCACGTCAAGTCACCCAACACAATAAGGAACGATCAAAATGTTCACCACACATTTCAAGAATATAATCGGTCCGAGACTAACTTACCCCGAATAAGTCACAAGAATATCAACCATCATGCCTATGTCCCCAAAATAAAAACAACTCAAGATCTTAACCAAATATAATTAAGTCAAGTCATTCAACTAGCACAATATATCAAAACTGACTATGATATCATCATCACAGAATCCACGTACAAGTAAACTCACGCTCCCACATCACAAGAAAATATCATGCAATTTAAAACACTAATGTTTACCAAGAAATACCTTCCCAAACTTAGAGTTTGTGTATATCATTGACACCGATAAAATAAAAAAAAAAATAAAAAATAAAAAGAGAAGAAGAAAAAACATAGGAACAAGAAACAAAATCAGCTTAGTTAACGCAAATAAGGTCTCGACCGAACCACGCACACCATTGGGTTGCCTCCCAACAAACGCCTCTTGTTATCGTCGTT